GGGGGGAGGGTGGAAACTCCCAGAGTGGCTCCCTGTCTAGCTCCAGCCCCTCTCTACAACTCCCCAGGTCATTGTTACCTCCGCACCCCAGGGTCTACTTTCACTTCTCAGGCTTCCTTCTCACTTTCCCTGCCCACAGCTCCAAGTTTTTCTTGGATCTTAATTTAGAGTCAAGAACCTTGTGATTCCTTGAGCACCTACCACTAGGCAGGGAGTGTGAGAATGGGGGAGGGAAGAGGTAGTCAATCTGAGTGAGTGTGTGAATGTGTGTGTGGTGCGTGCCCAGCCTGCCCACTCCACTTGTAGCCCCAGGCATTTCTCTTATGATTGGCCCCAGGAATCTGCATCTTTAGGAGACGGGTGAGAGGAATTGGAGGGAGGGAAGGAAGGAGACAGAGAGAGGTGAGTGGGAGAAAAACTACAGAATATAATTTTTGCTCAATGTTTAATCATTCAAATGCATAGGTGCCCTCTGAAGGGAGGCAGAAATGGGAAGAGGCCACCTCCTTAAACGTAGCTCTCCTGGGTAAAGAATCCTGGGAGAATCAGGATGAATGGTTTTGAAAGAGGAAGGACATGTTTTCAGGGTTGAGGGTGCTGGATCCAGGGCGGGCAGGATCCCCAAAGTGAATGAGTATATGACACCCTATGTCCTCTGGATTCTGGGTCTAAATCTAGACATTAAGTACACTCAGAATAACAGGAATAAGATAGGAAAGTCTGGGAAGGGGACTGGGAAAGTGGGCAGCGCGGAGAGATGTGAAGGGATGAAGGGCCCAGAAAGGAAAGGTGGGTTAGGAGCAAGAAGGGAGGAGAAGGGTGAAGAGGAAGCCAGCAGAGAGCACAGGCGGAGGGACAGGAGTCAGTCCTGAAAGGAAACAGAAAGGGGGCGGCTACAGATGACTGGGAGCTTGGGGGATGCTGAAGAGGGAACAGGATGAATTAAAGGTCAGGGAGGGAAACAGAGTGAAGGGGTCACAGGAGCAGGGGAAGAAGGCAGAAGGGCAGGAGGAGATGGAAGAAAAGGTCCAGGCTGGAAGGGAAGATGAGACAGGGGAAGGGGAAGGGAGAAAGGGGTGGAGAAGAGCAGGGTTGGGGAAAAGGGAAATGGTAGAGGAGGCAACAGAATACCGAGGACGAAATGAGAAGAGGATGAGATGGGGACCGAAGACGCACAGCAAAGATGGAGGAGTTGGAAATTGCTTCTTTCGGTGTGAAAGGATGTGGAGCTCCGGGAGGAGATAGGGATAGGGGCATGGTGGGGGAAGTGGAGGAGGAATGGGAAGAGAACGGGGCTGGAGGGAGGAAGTAAGGAGTGCAGGAGGGAGCCAGTGAAGCGGAGAAGGGCTCCTAGGGACATCTGTGGCCAACTGACTCCAGGACTCACCTCTCTGCCTTGGGCATCACCCCCTTCCCTCGATGTCAACTCGGCCCCAACCCCCTTTAGCCACCCCTTCCAGGAAGCCCGCAGTCCCCAGGCTGGAGCGCCACCCCCACCTCTCCTCGCGCCTCGCCGACCTGTTGTGCGCAGGAGACGAGATGGGGGTGGGGCGGGAGCCTTGAGGTGGGGGATCCCGGCCCCATCTCCAGCTTTGCCCCAGTCCACCCCTCTCACAGGCCCGCGCTCCCCGCACAGGGCAGGAAAGCAGCGAGAGTTGGGGCGAAAACCAGGACCAGGAGGTCGGCAAAGGGACTCCGAGGGAGGGAGCACCGCGAGCAGACGGGGAACCCGAAGCAAGAGGATGCGAGGAGCCTGAACCGAAGGCAGGATGGAGCAGCCGCGGGGACGGTGCCCGCTGCGCTGAGAGGGCAGGACGCAGCCGGGCCGGAGGTGGGATGGAGAGCACAGCGGGGAAGGCGCGCTTCGGGGCTGGGGGCTGGAGCCGGGTGAGGAAAGGCTCGGAGTTCGGAAGGACGGGGCCGGGCTCCCTCGGGTGGGGGCGTGGGGGTCCCTTTCACTCACCTGCGTGCCTGGCGCGGCGGCGCGAGAGCTGCGGGCGCTCGGGGCTGCGCGGGGCTGGGGGGACGCAGGAGCGGGT